AGGGCTAAATGTAATACAACTTAGAGATGTAGCAATCAGACTTTTTCTAGAAGATACCAATTTTCTTTCAGGTCTTAATATTTATGATCTTCTTAACATACAGCGATCAATCAATAGTTTGAAAGAAAGCAGCCTCGCCGCCAATGCAAAAACAATGTAGCCATGCAATAAAAGTTCGCTGAACTGAATAAAGGACCACTTTTGAGAGCTCATTTTCAAGCAAGAAAAACTAAATCATTGTGAAGGAAATATGGAATTCTTTTACACTTAATGTTTAAATTTAAAATAACACTTTAAAGATTGTAGTTTTGTGATTTAAAATTAATTTGCGGATTATTTTACAGTAATATAATTTACTGAAGTTGACTTTTCCTTGCTCAGGTGTCAAAAAAGATTGGGTGATGGGGTGAGCAAAAACTTTCATTTAAGTCAAAGAGGAGCCCAAGGAAAGGTTTGGAATCATAAGCCATTATTTTTGTCTTAAACAAGCAAGATAACCCTTTTAAATTGATGTGTTTGGCTAAGACTCAAAGATGGATTCATGAGCAGTAAGTAAGAATAATGGTCAAATTCCCTACCTGAACTGGCATTTAAAATAGAAACTATCTGATCTCCAGGTGCAAGTTAATGCATAATAAAGGGAGTTACGCTGTAAATTCATCATACATGTTACTGTCCAACACATTTTGATGACGCAGATAAATGACTAAAGAGCATGGGATGTGTAAGTAATGTATGATTAAACGTGTTTCTGAGAGTAATCTTTATTAATTATAAATATCAGATAGAGTTTACCTACCACAGCTTCAGCTTAAAGATAACTTGAATGAAAGGAAATATACCTCAACTTTTTGTGTGGTCTGTTTCACGGCGACTATAATGAAACTGTATTTTGACGGTCCTCCATCTTCAGAAAACAAAAGTAGTAATAATGAGACATACAGACTCAAAGCCAGAGTGATTGTTCCTTTATACTACCTTTTCTGAACTCACTGATAGAGATGTTGAAAGGGGGAAAGAAGAACATGACAACTGAAACATCTCAAATCATTTATGATCTTTGCCATGGGAAGGGTATTGATTGATGTGTCAGAACGTGTAATAAAACATGTTGAATAAAACTCCATCTAGATCTGTATCTGCAGGTATAACACGGGATGAAAACGGGCCCAATGTTAAGGTTGTTACTTGTTTGGAGTTATCTGTATATTATCAAGATGCCAAATCCCACTTAAAAAATGCCTGAGCTTTAGTTGCACAAGAACCCTAACACACCGTCTGAAATCACTACAGATCACTGCTAGGATCACTCCTGTAGTTAGCTTCAGATTACTGACTTTAACCTGGTCAGTCACCGGCTAATGCAGCGTTAAAGTACCGGCTGGTACAAACAACTCTGCCTGATAAATGCTTTGCTGACTATCACTGTTAGGAAGGGTGGAGTAATGACTTTAAAACTATTTAATCTGGTTTATCTTCTAGCTTGCTACGTTTAGGCTATTAATTTGTAGTTGATCTGTGGTGAAATCTTTTATTTACTCATGTGAATAAGTTTTGTGACTATTATCATTTTGAGCTGATCTCTATCCACCAGGAAACTCTTTCAATTTTCAGCCTATATAAAATATAAAGTAATAATGAATAAAATCATTTCTGAAACAAATTCATGAGCCCAACTCTCACTGAGATTTGAAGAAAGTTCAGTGAAGCAATGATTCAGAATGAAATAAAAGCCAGACTTGCATCAAACGGCCTCGTTTCCCTTGATTGGATCTGATCTGTGATGGCAGGTAGATCACAGCAGGAAAGGGTTTCTTCACATTTCCATTACATCAAGGCTAAAAACTCCCACCCATTTCAGACACTGACATTAGATAGTTCTTTAAAAAAAACTGAATTGGCAAATTAAACTTCAATAAATCATATCAACTGAAGAAGAAAGCCTAACAGATTCCTCTCTAATGAAAACCTTTATTTTCGTATTTGTAATTGAATGTTTAAACTTTTCCACTGGTCATCCGGCAAAACTACATCAATCACTGTATGCTAATTAAATTTTAGGCTCCCTTTTCAACGCTGCAATACTTTAAAACTTACTTCTTGTCTCCAATACATACTTTGCAGGTGGTTTTCTTCACAGACACTCCCATGTGTGTCTTACATATTTCTATGATTGAATTCACCTGATTCAGATAAATGCAGTTTAGCAAAAGCCATCTAAAAATCAGGTGTGCTTAAGCACAGAAGCATCTAAATAAAAAAAAAAAAAAAAAATAAATCACTGTACTATTCTTAAGCAAAACAATAAGGAAAAATGTATCTTGCAGTCTTCCACAATCCATAACTCCTATTTTTTTCCATTGTTTATCTAATTATGCCTCCCTTGATTACATTTGGCCTGGCTGGTGTGTTTCCTGGACGGGGCCACCCTTTACAGCTGCTTTTTGTATCTCTGCTTCTGTCTCCTTGAACACCAGTCGGCCCTGGCAGATGGCCGCTCACACTGATCCTGGTTCTGCTGGAGATTTCTTCCTGTTAAAAGGGAGTTTTTCCTCTCCACTGTCGCTACAAGCATGCTTAGTGTGAGGGATTGCATTTAAGTCAATGAATCGATAAAACCAACCGGCAGAAAACTTTGAATCAGTTTGACCGTATGATCTGGTTAACTGTAAAGTGCCTTGAGATGATGTGCGTTGTGAATTGGCGCTATAGAAATAAACTGAATTTAATTGAATTTTCTAGCAAGCAAGCATGGTTGGGATTATGCATCTACCTGGTGAGAGGAGTGGAAAATGCTGTGCATTGGAGTGCTTAAAAAGGAGAATGAGCAAATGACTGGAGGTGACTAAGGTGACTTATGGTCCAAAGGGTAGATAGAGAGACTAACAAGGAAGCACAGGAGAAGAAAAGATACATTAATGAATTAATCATAGGAAATTCTGGACATGTGATATTACACAACTGCATGTGACTAACAGCCAGCATCATGATGTAAGGAACGCATTGCTAGGTTCACAAACCCTTCAAGAAAATGCCCTCAAAATGACACCTTGAGTACGTCAGTGGGATGGAGGATGCTGATTATTAAATGGCTACTTAAATCTGTCTAAAAATCACGACCAAGATACAGCCTTTTTTCTTTTTTATTGCGGTCTCTAGGCTTTAGGCCACTGTAAGAGCTGTGATCACAACCAAAAGGCCCTAGCAACATCAGGCAGATTATAATAGCCATGATCATCAGCCGTTATTATGACGGCCAGGTACATGGATATTATGGGATCAGCATCCAGCCGGCTGATGATACCCAGCCTGAGCGGAGGCGCGTGGCCCAACTGTCACACATGACCTAACGGCCCATACAAACATCCTCAGCCTCCTCCTGTCGGTGGGCTAATTGGGAACAAAACCATCCATTCGATGGGACTTACCGATTCCGGGGGCGGAGTAGATGAAATAGAGTACCGAGGTGGAGAGTGAAAAAAGGAATAAAAGCCCAAGGAATGACCTTCTCCGGAAACGCAAATGTGTCGGCATCATACAGGCAGCGAAAGAAGCACAAACCAGCACGTTTTTTTTTTTTTTGCTTTTTTTTTTTCCTGTATCCCCCAAAGATGGCAAAAGCAGCCCCGATGTGTCCAGATGCCTGAGCCAGTGAGTCTGCAGACGGTCTGGGCCAAATGAGTCAAATGAAGGGGTAGGTCTGCGGCAGCAGATGAACAGGCGACGAGGAAGTCAGTCTATTTCCGCGGCAAAAAACAAGGATGGGATCATTCAGCCGAGACTCTAGAGGTCCATTTCTGAGGAGAAGGTAAAGGTTTGGTTTCGTGATATTTCCGATGGAAGAAAAAAAAATGGCCAGCGAAGATTTCGCGGGTGTAAGGGGGGAAAGGCTGGTGGGTTTAACGCAAGACCATCGTTTCGGTTCCACACCTCGTCGCAGACGGTGTTTGTGTCGCTTTATGTTTCTGCTGCCAAGCCTGCTCGCCTGCCTGCCCTGCCCTATGAATGGAGCGGTCCCTCCGCAGAGAGAAAAAAGAGCAATACCTCAAGTGGGCGTTAACGCGGAGGCTCCGGATCTTACTCAGCGCCAAATACGTAGCGCGTAAAACGACGTGATTTGACAACGTTCGGAAAAAAAAAAAAAAAAAAAAAAAAAATCTTCTTAACCTCAACATTTTTAGAAAGTTTACTGCTTTTTATTATTATTGATTATTAATGTTTAATTTTTTTAAATAATATTCTTTTTTTTGTTATTTTTTTATTCTATATATTAAAAAATTATTCTTTTATCCGACTTAATTAGCAAAAAAAATTATTTGTTTTTTTTATTCTATAAAATACATAAATAAATCAAATATATATATTAAAATATATTAAAGAAGAAAACTTAATGAGCTATTCGCCTGAGCAAAAATGATAAGGGTCTCATGAATGATAAGTAATTTACGTTTTATCAGACTTAATAAAAAAAAAAATGTTTTATGTATTTATTTTTTTTAATTAATTTTATATATATATATATATATATATATATATATATATATATACACTAATAAACATGATTTGTGTACAATTTGGGAAGAAAAACAATAAACACTTATTTTAATGAAATAAATAATGCTAGCAACCCATCTCCTGCATCAGTTTTCATTTTATCACATAAATACACACAAATGGTGTCTAATGGTTTTTGTGGGGCTTTTCCATTTACTTCCATTCATTTCTACAGCCTAACTGTGACCCTTACCCTAATCATAAGCATTACAGGTTCATACCTAACCATAACCCCACAATTCCCAGCTTAGTCCTAAACATGACCCCTGACCCCAAAAAAGCAATTCCCCATGTCGGGCCCAGCCATCAGGCCCCATAACGAGCAGCTGATCCCCACAACATGAAAACGAGAACAGCAGAGAAGATCATCGGGGCTCCTCTTCCCTCCATTAAAGACATTTCATCTCAGCGCTGCCTGTCCCGTAGCCCGAAACATTATTAATGACCCCTCACATCCCCGCCATGGACTGTTCTCCCTGCTGCCCTCTGGGAAGAGGCTTCATAGCATTCGATGCAGGTTCAGCAGATTCTGAAACAGCTTCTTCCCCACTGCCATTAGATTGTTGAACTGTTGAAAAAACTAGATCTTTTCACAGACTCTGCATCACACTGTCAACACCAAACCAAAAATCTGCATATTTACACCATATGCTCTGAACTTCCATATCAATGCATTTTTCTTTTTTTGCACCATAGTTTTTTCTCCCACACTGTTTACATTTAAACACTGCTGCACTTAAAGAAATGGAAATTTCATGAGAGGTGTACAAAACCAAATTTAGTTTTGTATACAGTCTATGTATACAAAATTACGATAAAAGTTGTCTAAGTTTCTAAGTCTAAGTCCCTGAAAAAACCCTAGATTTGTTATGTTTTTTCTACTTTTATTTAATTTAATTTTTTTTACTTTTTCTGCACCCATTCACAACACATTTCATGTGTCTGTATGTCTGTCTGTCTGTCTGTCTGTCTGTCTGTCTGTATATCTATTTTTTTGTTCTGTATGAGTTACATGTAGTTCTAAATTATATATCTTTGCCTGCTTTTAACATAACATAACCCAATGAGGTTTTAGATTATTTTTTTATTGGATGTGTTTGTTCTGCTTTGAAAGCAATTCATCAATAAAAGTGGTATAAAGACCAATGCCTTGAAATGATATGCAAGATAATAGCTTACTCAGGGAGCCACAAAAAGGCTTATAAAGAAGCCCGAAGAAGGAACAAATAAGTGAAAGAGCTAATATATATATATAAATTGTGTCTTGGAAGCATATACACACAGATACACGAAGAAAAACAACAACAAAAAACAAAAACAAAAAAACAAATAAATACATACAGCTTATACAGCCTAAGATCGTAAGATCAGAAAGTGCCTTAAGTGATACATGGTAAAGCCAGAAAACTTGGGTTATTTATTAGACGCAGGCATTTGGAAGCGGAAGGCTGACGGTGCAGCGCAATGCCTCATGGGAAATTGAGTTATTAGTACTTTAACTCAACTTTAACTCGTTCAGATATTTTCAGGGTCTAATATCAACTACAAATAAAGATCATTTATAAATTTAGTTAAACAAAATGGTAATCAATCATGTCTTCTTTTCCGAGTCGGTTTATTTCTAATAAATAAAAAATCTGACAAGACTACAACTCCCAGCGAATGCTTTACCAGGAAGTAAGGGCTCCTGTGACGCCAACAGATATACGAAGCAGCAGATATGAATCCCTTAGTCTTTATTAATGTAACACATTATCATTAGATCTAAAGGACTTTTAGTTGAGGATGAGATACATCAAGTTTAAAGTCTTTTCGTGGTTCTTGTTACTTTTCATCTTGAATCTGTGCGTGTCAGAGGGACAGGATAAGGCTAACTCCTGGGACCTTCACAAGAGAGACGAAAACAGGCAGGAGACTAAGGATGAAAATCCAGACCAAAGCAAGCAGACAAACAGAGAAACAGCAGAAAATACGGAGAAGCACTCTCTCAGGTTATTCGATTAATTCATTTTTATGTTGTCGAAAGCAACTTACGTGGCAAGAGCTTTTTCTTGTCCTGTTTAAATTAGTCACTTTTTCGACTTAAACGTATAATTTTCACATTATTTGCGATTTGTTGTATCTGTGTATTTTCTATAAAATAGTGGTGACTGTTTATGGCAGATCAAAGTGTCCCTGAATATGCTAGCAGCTAAACTTCATTTTTTTAGTCTAAGGGGATTTTATTATTGCTGTTGCTGTATTGCTTTTTTGTGGTCAGTTTATCTTTAGATTATCAAACCAATTAGGCTGTACCCTTGCTAACTCTCCTCTTGCAGCAAATCCAATGAGACCTCTGAAAACTACAGCAATGAGACCCTCCACACGACAGCAGCTGTTGCCAAGCCAACCACACCAGCCCCCCCAACCCCAAAGCCTATCCTGCCTGTACAGACAGGGGTGAAGGCCCAGGAGGAAGAACAGTCCAGTGGGCTTACTATTTTCTTCAGCCTACTTGTTATTGGTGAGAGCTAATTCTTTACTTGTATCAGTGGTGTCAAAAGCACACACATTTGTTACTTAAGAAGAAGTATATATACTGTCGTTTAAAAACACTCTGATAAAAGTTAAAATATAAACTTGACCTCTTTACTCAGGTAAAAGTGTAAAGTATGTGCTCAAAAAACTACCTAATGTATAAAAAGAAATAGCCAGATGCCACTATATGAATTGAAAGCTTAATGTTTCCACTATTTCGAAAAATTCTTTGAGATAGGGCCAAGGATGGTGGAGGTCTTGTTGGTCTCCGACCTTTCAGACATTTCAACATCTTTTTCCGAATCAGACATTGTAGCATGGCATACACAATTCACGTTTGCAGTTTGAAGAACACCTGCTTGCTTCTGATGATTTCCTTTAGCTAAACAATGAGTGTTTGCGTTATATGACTCATCCAATTACACTAGTTTTCACTAGATGCTGATTGCGCCAATGATCTGCATTGGATGGAGCACATGACGTGAAATAAATATTTATAAACATTAAACCGAAGCCAAGAGTAACGAGTAACGTTTGTTTTAAAAATGTAAGGAATAGAAAGTACAGAACTTGTGTGAAAATGTAATGAGTAGAAGTCAGAAGTAGGAAGAAAAATAAGCATAGATGCCTAAAAAGTGTACTTGAGTACAATAATAAAGTATTTGTACTTTGTTACTTGACACCTCTGACTTTTATGGATAATAATGTGGTGCTGACATAAATACATATTCTCTAAAAATGATAACTGTGAGGATAAATATATCACAGTTTCACATTACTTACAATAAAACATTAAACTAAAAATGTATAACCAGATATGCACTGAGTTTGAGTCCAGTAGTGTTTCATCTATATAAACTATAGACTGTTAATAGAGTTAATAATATTGTATCCATATGATTTATTTACTGGTGTTATTGGTTTTAATTAGACTAGAGCAAAAAAAGGAAAAACAAATCACAAAAGAACTCATTTGATTTTGGTTTTTATCATTTTTTTTTCTATTCCACAAAATATTAGATAATTGTGTTATTTTTAACCAAAAGATGCTTATGCATAAAAAGCAGATAATGGCTGGGTAATTTTCCTGGCTGTCTGTGCAGGCATACAGCCATCTTCCTGGTGCTTAAAGGTATTGTGAAGAATTTTCACAAATTTTTTAAACGACCTGCCCTCTTCACTTTAAAAGAAAATGCACATGCCCAACCCTGTATCTGCTCCCGAGAGGGAATGCCTATCAAACTCGTGTGAGAGCATGCACCAGCCCATTTCTCCTTGTGCACGCTCTTTTTAAAAGTTGCTGTTCTCATAGCTCATTCAAGTTTACTGTGCCCGAACGTCTGTTCTGAGGCCTTACTTTTCTTCTCATACACTTTGTAAACACTTTCTCTTATGACCCTTGGCCATTTTCAAAGACGCTCTGTGAGAAACGTGAGCTTCAAAGACTGTCTGAAACCGTAGCTCACCACAGATTTACACCTGACAGTGCTCATGCACAGAAAATGATAGCTAACAGGACAAGCAATTAAGATGGCCCTCCCCCTGCATTCATGATGTGTAGATGTCCAAGGTGGAGGTAAGGCTACTCCTGCAGTCCTCTGCACAGGCTTAAACAGCTTCTTGCAGAGCCATCTTCTCAGCAGCAGTGCAGCTGCCGTGTTGCACGGTGATGCAGGTGCAGGGAGGGATCTCCACCACACAGAGACTGAAGTTCCTCAAGACTGAGCTCCTGAGTCCAGCCCTCTGATGCTCCCTGAGGAAGTAGAAACACTGTTTAGCTTTCCTGACCAGGCAGGAAGTGTTGTCACTCTAGCTGAGGTTACTGGATATAAGCACACCCAGGTTCCTGTAGCTGGAGACCCCCTTCAGAGCTGCGCCTTCAACGTACAGGAGGTGAAGAGGATCCTTGTCCCTTTTGAAATCCGCCACCATCTCCATATACAAATTGCGATATATATTTATATATAATGAATTACTTTCTGCTCCTAGAACTAGGTAACACTTTGTGCAGTTTTAATAGGATTTACTGATTTGCTAACACAACTTTGCATTCTGTTTTTATTTAGACATGATTAATGTCTCCAGTGACAGCTGCTCGTATTTGAACTTCAAGTTGAGTCCGTTTACTGGTCCCCTAATTTGTCTGATTGGGGATTATTTATTTATTTTTTTTTGTACAGGGCAAGTGCAGCTGACATCAGTCTCCCAGTCTCTGTTGTAGAAAAATATAGTCTGGCATGAATGTGTAAAGATTTAACTCAGATTTATGTTACTCCCTGGGAAAGGGTGAGAAGTTTATTTGATGTTTGCCAATTTGCTGCAACTATTGCTTTTCCAGTAGTCAACAAACTATGATGCTTATGTCAAATAAAAGCCTTAAATCCTCATGAGCAACCCATGGCAAATAAATATCTAATCACTACATTTGTAGGCTGTAGAGCAAGTTGTTTAACTTTTGCAGCAAGGAAAGCCTTACAGTTGTGACACAAACTATTTGTATTGAGCAGCTAAGCGTTCTAGCCTGGCAAAATGTCTCAGAAAAAGTAAATGCTAAACATTTGATAACCGCATGTTATTGTTGCTTTTGTTTTTAAGAAGTGAATTTTCTTTCTTTTTTTTTTATTGTTTTTTTTTTTTTTTTTCAAAAAAGCTGCTGAAGAAGGTTGTTTAAAGGAAGCATGGCCCCAAAATATGTAATCAAGCATGCCCCAATTTTCTAGTAAAATACTTGTTGACTAAAAAATCAGATTTAAAATAGATCATCCAGACTGCTTTTTTAACTTGTCTTTTTTACTGCTCATTTTTGTGAATTAATTGAGTTGATAAATAAAACAAGGGCTGCAACTAACAAGCATTTTGCTCATCAATCTGCTTATTATGTCTTTGATTAATTGATCAATAAGCGAAAGATTCCTTAAAGAGGACTTTTTACAGAATTAAAACAGGTCCAACTAAATCTTTTCCACCTGAGGAGTTCTTGGCAGAGCATATTGTTTTCTATCTTAAAAGCAAAATATATATATTTTTAATACTATTTTTATTACTGCTTTAAGTGGGTCACTCTTTCAGCTAAACCATGTTTTAGAGTCACTATACGACACATAACGATTAATGGATAATCGTTAAATTACTTTCTTTAATTGAATAATCACAATTAATCCGATTTATTGTTTCACCCCTAAATAAAACAGAATTTTACATTTAATTTTCAAAAAATATCGTTGCAAAAAGTGACCAAAATTTAATTAATTGAATGTTAAAATTTGAAAATTAAAACATATTAACAGAAATGCTTTTCAGTTTTAAAGTCTTGCTGCATGGTTTTACTCAAATTACATTGCTTATTTCTTTTGCTCTCTAAATCCGCTATTTCTGTTATATTATTAAAATATTTAACAATATGATGTTTACCCTTTAATTTACATAATGTATTCCAGTAAAAATGAACCATAATTCATCCACATGGTTAAATTTGTGTTATAAAATGCATTAGCAAAAAGCTGCATTTTTTTGACTCCTGTAATCGAAACAGCATTTCCTTTTCCAAGGCTGCTCATTTTTTTACTTAGTTTAAATTGTACTTAAAATGTAATATTTTATTTTCAAATTATGTACCAGCTAACAGTGATGAAAGCTCATTTTTAAATGAAAAACTTCAAAATATAAATGTATTCATAGAAAAGCTTTTTATATGAAAATCAAGCTGCATATTTTGTTTTATAACTAAATTTTCGTATTACTTAATAATCTAAATTGTATCTTTATTTTCTTCTTCAATAATGTTTATTGTGTGACGCAGCTAGAGAAAACTAAAAGAAAAACACTTTTTCTTTTAACTTTTAAAAATGTCTTACAATCACTTCCAAGCGGTGCAGCCTAGAGACGTCTAACCCTAACCCTGCTCTATATCTGTCACCTTCTAGAGCCTCCAGCTCTTCTTGCAGTAACCCTAACCCTAACCCTGCTCTATATCTGTCACCTTCTAGAGCCTCCAGCTCTTCTTGCAGTCTGATGTTTTCCAATTAAATGTTCTACAAACAGTATTTAAGACCAGGAGGGATAAATCCTTAAGAGCTGTTTCTCCAGTGTGGAATGATTCGCCTCCATCTTTGCTCTGCACTCTGACTGTCAATGCTTTTCACTATACACGCTATGTGATATGTGTGTATTGTCTTTATCTTCCATTTTATGTTTATCTTCTTTTCTTTTTATGCTTCTTTTAATCATAAACATCTTTTTGAGTTGTGACGGGTAAAAGCTGCAATATAAATACACCATGCTTCCTTATTTGCAGCATATTGAGTGGAGCTTTTTAAGGCCTGATGTGAGAAAGCAAAGGATGATTTTAAAAAAGATGTGTTTGTCCTAATTATTCAATCATTCTCTCCTTCAGGTATTTGCATCATATTGGTGCACCTGCTTATCAAGTTCAAGTTGCATTTTCTTCCTGAGAGTGTGGCTGTTGTTTCTCTCGGTGAGTATTTCTCATGTCACTTGCTGCTGTTTGCACAAATATATCCATGGTAGATAAGAATTGAACAAATGAATCATTTTTGAGGTATTTTTAAAAAGAAAAAATAACAATGTCCAGTTTTAGTATACACTGAAATAAAATTTTAAAAAGAAATAACATGTCATTTACTGATGAACAGTTATCGAGAAATTTATTTTAGGGCAGCAAGAAAAGATTCCAAACCACTGAGCCACCAACACCGCAAGTCATGTCGACAATTTTTGTTTTTGCTGCCATTTCCTGTTTTTACTAAGCCTTAAATATGTAATGATATAACAGTAGTACCTAAATCTAACCTAAATATGAACTGGATACCATCAAATCTAAAACCTAGTTAATCAATGATGTTGGATGTGCTTAAAAGCCTCCTAAGCTATTAATGATAAGAATAATTTAACTTTATTGATTTCACACTAGAGAAATTTACCCCTGCATTTTGACCCATCCCAATAAGGAGCAGTGGGCTGCCATTGTGTGGCACCCAGGAAGCAGTGTGGGGTTAAAGGTCTTGCTCAGGATCCCAGAGTGCAGGCTGTAGGTATCAAATAAGATACTTGCAACCTTCTCAGTGCACATGTGCACTGCTCTAACCACGTCAAGTCCAAGTCAGTACTCCCCTAAAACTTGGGACAGTGGATAATCAGAAAGATATGATGGTTAGCTTTAATAAAAACTGCATAAATTCCTATATAATTTGATGGTATCAACATATTATCTATTGTCTGATGGTAAAAGGGTCAGAATTTCAAATAATTTAGACCTTGTCTTTGAATATCTGCAGAATGGAGTGTCCTAAACATGCCAAACCAAAATTTGCATAAGTAGCTTTGTCAATATTTTAGACCAAAATAAATAGCAAAAAAACAAACAATACTACATTAAGAGACAAGGTAGTAAAAAAACAAACTGACAAGATAGGACTCTGTGTACAGACAGTAATAACATGCGCTCAGGGACAGTGTTACTCTTCCAAGATGAGAAAAAGGCATCGAGGAATCAAATCAGGACTAATTCTTTAGAATTAAAAATGTCAATATTTTTTTTTATAAGCAAAAAGACAAACTTTGCGACTTTCAGAGCCAGCTCATTTTAGCAATCTTATCCGGTCTAATGTGGCTCTTTAAGCCCTCCAAAGTTGCTCGTAATAACGTTTCATGAAATTCACAGAAACAATGTAAAAAAAAAAAAAAAAAATCAAAGGCAGTATGCAGAGAATGCTGCAGTAGCAGTTTGCATGAATTCCTTCAACAAAAGAGCCCTTAATAACAGTATTTACCTTATCCATTTATCATAGGTTGACTGCTGTTTTTGCAAAAATAGGATAAGGACTCCGAGTTTGGCTCATACTATAAAGTATTGTTTTCCTAAAGACAGTTTAAAATGTTCCTATTTAAATATTCTGTGTATTTTTTCCAAAGTTTTTGTTAGTTTTTTTAAAGCTGTTTATTAACTTTATTTAGCTGCTGTCAGGGCAAACATAGAATCTTTGAAAAGGTTGATGACCCCTGAGTTAAATGTTTTTTTTCCCCTTCACCCTTTGCTCTTGTCCATCACGCATGGTTAAAAAAAACAGACCTTTTATCAGTTGTCGTCATAAAAAATGATCTGGTTTTAAAATGATTTGAACTAAGATTAAAGGGTACAGACACAACAAGTCCGTAATTTCATAGTTTGGTAACCAAAAAAATAACAAAAATAGAGAAGCTTTTTACAACTTTAGAAGAGGAGGTGTACTTGTTTTTCACCATTGCTGCATGTTTTAGGTATCTGTAAGTGTTCAGCTCTGGCCCAGCTCTGGGTTTAGGTTTTCTTCCAAGGAAAGGTGTCAGGAAGTTTAAGGTATCACCGAGGACAGTGTTTAGCAGGGTGCAAAACCTAAAAAAAGCCCAGCAAAGGTTATCCCACTGATGGCCTTTGCAGCCTAACTTAAGAATTAAGAAGTGCTTTTATATAAGGAAACAAAATAGGGCTCCGTCCATTTTAAAAAGGTCTCTTCAAATTAATTCACCTCCTTAAAACTGCACTTCTCCTTTACGTGCTTGTGCGTGTGCTCCCTTTACACACCAGCGACACACATGCTTCTTGACCCTAAAGGGCTTTTCTCTTTTTATGGCCTGCACTCTGCACAGGAGCAGAGCTTGTTTGAGTGTTTGTCACAGCCAGGGACTCTGCCATGGAGAGATAACAGTGCTAGCAGATCAAGAGATGGCCTATCTGTCTACGTTCACATTATCTCTTAACATCTCACACTAAACCTACATTAAAATCTTTTTCTCCGTCTGTCTCAGTTTCCTCTGTTCTGCCCCTAACGCAGACTTGTTTTCTTTAAATTGGTGCATTTGCAAAACCAGAAGAGACCTCTGTCTTAGAGCTAAGAAAATAGTATGGTATGGTACATAACCTGTTATCATTCTGCTAGTATGTAAAAAAAAATGCCCTTTAAAAAGCACAAGTAGATTAGATGCTATTTTTGAAGCATTTGGAACATGGAAAAACCCGGTATCTCTGTCAGCTGACCTGCACTGTCAAACATTCCTAAAAAGTAAGTTAGAAGATGTTTCTGTTCCCATCCAGAAAGCCTTTTCCATTCAAAATGTCAGAATTAGCTATGAGTTTGAAGCTTTATAGAGTGGCCCAAAACGAAGCCTGGTTTTGGCTTAGAAAACATGCAAATTGAACTGAAAGAACCGGTCCGCCCCTTAGGAATGGGGAGTTGTTTGGGTTCTTTGTTAGACTGCAATATCTGATACTGTTCTATGCCTCTGAAAGGGAGGTTGTCACGGGGAATTGTTGTCCTGCCTGACCAGGCAAGATGTTTTGGTCCCTTTGCACGAGGTTGAGGGTTGAGAAGAAAAAGCCTATAAAGCCTGGAACTCGATGCTAATTCTTACATTTTGAATTGAAAAAGCTTCCTGGAGGGGAAGAGAAACAAACTCGGAAACAATTTCCCGTGGATTGGGTTTAAATTTTTTTGGTATGACTATGACCTGGATGACTGAGAATCTTCACCAGCATAATGTCAAACATTTGTTTTTTCTCACATCATTTTTTCTTTCATGTAGATTGACATTAACATTGCTAAATTTATGGACATCTACATTAAATGAGGCAAGAGTTCTAGTCTTACCTACTTCAAGTTGATCTTTAATGATAATGATCACACACGCACATCAAAATAAGTGTATTCTGCAGGTTTTTCTGAAGGGATGCCCGGAAATTTTCTTTTATCTGAAATACTATTTATAATTAAAACTAGTTTGATTATTCAGGGGAGACCATAGGGGGACTGGAGGCAAATATATTGTAAATATAAATAAAACAGTGAATAATGCAAATCATTGTTTTTACAGAATGCCAACAGGTCCAGGAAAATGGTTCAGTATAATATTAGTGGGCTCTTTTCTTTTGGAAAAATTTATGAATAAACGATAAGCTATCTTGATGAGGTGTGGCTTTTTTCTTTTTGTTGTTTTTTATGTGAAGCTATTTAACCAGTTTTTCTTTTTTAGGAATCCTGATGGGTGGATTCATCAAGATCATTGAGTTCCAGGAACTGGCCAACTGGAAGGTACAGTTTGACTCTTTTGTATAAACCAGACTGACAGTACTATGTTTTCTTTTTTTTCCACTAATCAGTAGAAACAAACTGGAATAACTGAAACTATCAGACGTCAAATAGACTAAAATGTACGTATATGTAATGAACAAGTTGAATCCATTTTGGAAGGATTTGGAACCTAGTGAGGGATGTGAACTGGCAGCGTAGAGTAACATTTCCTCTTGTATAGTGGACTTTAACACCCTGCTCATTTCCTGGGAAAGCCCCCATTTCAGTCCATTTCCTTATCTCTTGGCAACTAATCTCATTTCACCATCTGTGTCTCACATCGTTCTCTGGTGACTGTCTCTTCCTCTTTATCCCTCCTCATTTTTTTTGCGCCTTTAATTAACATTCCTCATTCTCTGCCAACTAGTGAGAGAACGGACAAACAAGAGAGGTGGAGAGAGTTGCACATGAGTTGGGAGCAAGTGGAAAAAAGGACAGGTTGTCAATGTTTCTTCCAAACAGGGGCCCATTGTTTCTGTTTTCTAGCTTTGGGCCCCCGAGTGTTGCTGAGTCATTGGCACTGTAATTAGAGCCCCAAAAGGCCCACTCCCCATGCTGTCCCATCAGATGGCCATCTCTGTGTTTGTGCCTGACTTTCAGTAGTCAGGTAATAAATGTCATGTTAAAATCACAAACTTTAATCTATTTGGGATGCTTTATAAAATCTGAAAAGTGCCGTTTGCCTTCGTAAAACCCTCTGTGCATTGAGGATTTCTTGAACGACCCTGCCATCCCTGACATGCTTGGTGTTGTCCTTTGGTCCTAATGATACAGTGTGTCTCTAAAGCCCCATTTACACTACCCTCTTGAAACCGTGCAAGTCCGGTCTGTGCACGGTAACTGAGATAACCGTTGAGTGTAAATAGAACGCAACTGAACTGGACCATGCCAGACACAACAAGACCGCGCTAAATCTAGTAATAGTTCAATAGTAGGGCTCTGCGCAGTTAAGTTGTGGCTCAGTTCTCTGATAAAAAAGAGCGCGTGAGCAGACCATGTCATTTTGCGGATTTTCCGGCGTGTCCAGCTTTACCATTCACAGATATCCTCACCTATTCACAACACAAACTTCATCTCAGCCTATTATCAAAAAATGCATCAAAAGAGCGTGGTGCGACCTGGGATGATGCAGAGACTGATGCTCACATTGAAATCTGGGCATAGGGCACTATCCAGGCATATAAGTTCCTGAATGTTATGGGCGCCAGCATTTTTGTTTGCGTAATTCCCGACTTGAGAGCTGTAGTATCGTGGACCGCTGATAGGAGACGAGGAACTGTGCCAGTTAACTGATCTGAGCTCAGTCCGAACTCGGCACGGATGGGTTTCAGAGGGCTAGTGTAAATGGGGCGTAAGAGGCCTCTGGGGCGTTCACAGAACAGCCTTATTTAAACTGTCTGACGTCATGTCAAATACTATTTAGCAATTAAACATCTTAAAGGTATAGTGGAGTATTTTTCCGGATCTTTGAAAAGACCCGCCCTCTCTACTTAAAAAAAAAAAAACGGAACATCTATTAAATGGTTGAAAGAGCGTGCACAAGCTCATTTCTCCTCGAGCGCACTCTGTTTAAAAGTTGCTGTTTGCATCGCTTTTACAAGCTTACTTTCCAAATGAAGATTTGCAATTTTTCCACTACATCAGACTCACCACTGGTAAGTGAAAATGGGGACAAGCGCGTAGGACGACCTTACGTAAATCATTTCACCAGAATGATTGAGAATAAGGACGACCACTTATTTTTATGATCCACCTGGAAAATAGAACATTCTCCACTATACCTTTAAGTAATCGAATGCACTGAATTATATTGTATTTGGAAAATTGGAATGAACGGGATGATTTACACTCAACATGTATTTGAAGTTTGAAAACATTTTCCTTAATTTGAAGGTTCTTCAGTTGCTTGTGCAGGGTTTCCGCAGGTCATTAAAAATCATTAAAAGTCATTAAATTATTATTTTTTAAATTAAGGCCTTAATTGGCATTAAAATTCATTAAATTT